GATAGAGCATCGAGATTGCCAGTCATGGGGTGGTTGGAGTATAGAACATCTTCAAATGAATCGAGTGAACCACTGGTGCATTACTAGATATAGAGTGTGCGCCGTAACCTGTCTTTTGGTTGATCCTCCATTTTGTTTGACGTTTGGAAGGTCCTAATCGATAGTGGTGAAGGAAAAGCTGACAGAACAGGTTCTCAAAAAATGAAAGTAGTAGCTAAGGAAAGTAGCGTGTTAATGGGTTGACTAACCTTTCAGATAAACCACTGTGGGTGCTGCCTCGCGAAACATGGTTCACGCCTCCACCATTTTTTTTAGGAATTCTTACAGCAATAAATTAAAGTGGTTTCCTATTATGGTCAACCTAATTTGTTCTGAATCTCTGATCTTTGGCTCGTCCTTCGTATTTGAATGTGAAAGTAGGTTTTCTTTGTTAATGATATGAAAGACCCCGGTTTCTCGGCCTCATTCAGGGGAGAGAACGTTCAACGTTCCTAAAAGCTATACTATTGCAGATGAAAAAATAGGGAAAACCTTGATTCGCAAATTGTTTATTTAATTCCTTCTTCAATATTATATTTTTAGGGAGATTGGACGATGTGCACTCGATGTGAGTCTTTCAGACCTCCTCGAGCTCATCATTGTCGAGTATGCCGTCGATGCATTCGTAAAATGGACCATCACTGTATGTTGTTTCATTTTTGAAGTCTATGACTGTTTATTCTGCAGTTTTCTTCGTTACAATGAGTATTAAGCTTGCAGCAAAGCATCATTTTGTGATTCATTCCTATATTCATTCCCTCCTGCATGTGACAGAGGTGTCAGATTCGGGGCATTATCGACACGGTCGATCATTGAAGGGGTCTTATGAAAGGGGTCTTCTTCTGGGACGCTCGTATGATTATGAAATCCTGAAAATATGACGCTAGACCCTCACCCTATCTTGATAATTTGTGAGTTCGACTCACTTGCTTCTCTAGTAGAGCCGTTCTGGGTTTCCTTCCCTTTCGTTATCAGATCGCTTGATCTTGGATTGAATACGGCTTCTCTGGTGCCAGACAGCTTACGTGTTCCCTAAAATTTTACGAATCCACACAACTATGTAGTTCTCCCAAAATTTTACAATCCGATGTGTGTGTGATGTGGAACAAGTGGGCAGTTATACAACGCGTATTTCCAAGTGTATATTCCTTTCTGCTTCACGCCGGCATTGATAGAAAAGTGTGTGAGATTTTGTGAATATTTCTGCTAGCTTATTTCAAGACAGAAGCTGCGATGTCGGCTTCGTAGTTATGAATTTGCATTTTCAATTAATTTATCAGGCCCATGGTGTGAACTAACCGTGTCTGCGAGAATTTTAATTCAGAAGTTTTCTTACAATTCCTCTTCTACGTTGGATTGTCTAGCAGCTACACAGTTCTGTGAGTGATTCTATCGGTACAATTTAATGTTCAATTAGGTGGCTCACATAATTTGGTTGACGAAATCAGTGTTAGTAAAAGAAGCTATAATCACAAATCCAGCTGGAAACTGTCACCGTTTATAGCTTTGGTAGTAATCTACAACATATCGGTTTACCTGCACTGTGAGAGATTTTTCTGTTGCATAGACTTGGAGAAATGGAGCGCTGAAACTCTTGCTTCCCGACTTTGGTTTTAGCGGTTTTTGTGGAAGCCTGTGGTGATCAAGCTCCCTGGCATTCCATCTCTATATATCACTTTCAACAAATGATAAATGACTTATCGAATTAGCTGTTTTGAGATGTTCAAATACATTGGGAAAGGTCAAAAGGGACAAAAGTGGCTGTCATATGAATTGTCCCTCCCCTTTTTTTCTTCTTTGAGGGTCAGCTCGGCTCAAGATCAAATTTTAAAAAATTCCCAAGGAATCAATTTTGCCGCATGTACGGAATATCCTTCTACTTCCAGCGTAGTCACCAGACTAACTGCTTTTTGACTGGCTTTTGAAATTTTTTGAAATTTTCAACATTTTAGCGTGATTACGACTGATTTAGAGTGATGGTACTTTCCTGGGTTTACGACGACGAATTTGCCTCCACTGGACTAAAAGGACCATTTGGAGAAAATGCCCACCATGCTAAAGTGTATGTCTTGATCGCTTCCTTATTTTCACTATTGTTTTGGGATGGTATTAATGGCCGTATTGCAGACTGCATTCCATTTTTCTGTCAATGGAGAGCGCTCTTTTTGGGATGTTTGTTGTAGCAGTTTCATGCGATCAGGTACGTTTTTCTTTCGTAGAGTTCAAATTTAGTGTTTGAATGACCAACTCTAGCTTTCTCATTAGAACGATCATGTGTCGCAAAAAAATGCAAAAACCCCTTTTACAGTTGGGAGCAATCTTTTCTGAAGAAACTGCAGTTGAAGCTGTTCAACGTAGGACGAAACAGGCATATAAAAGAAGTCGACGACGAGGAAGGCTTTCACTTCTTAGAGAAGTTTGTGGGGGAGGTAAGGAATTTCCATTTTTCAACTGTTCTCGCCACACCACGTTATTTCAACTTCCTCTGTTCACTCCAATGATGCCCTAAACAATTTTAAGAATCTTGGTTATATTCGGTTCATTTAGTCATTTTCAAAGAGGCCAACCCAGTCACACTTCAGAGATGTTTTCATAGTTTTGGAGCGCATTCGGTGATCTCCTGGAAATTACTGATTGCGGCTTTTGGGCACTTCCTTTCTCTTCATGCTTGATCTGGAAAGCAAATTAGGTTTAAAATGTATGGTGGCGAGGCATAAGGAAAGCTAAAGCAGCACGCAAGATTGGTGGACAAGCATCATTTCTTTTCCCACTCGCGTGTACAACCTTGACCTTCCCGATGGTCCAACTTTTCAAGGGTAATAACTCTAGAAGCCGTAATGATAGAAATTATTGTAATACAATTCACATAAAGCAGAAGGGTGGCATTGAAGTTCGGAATGCGTACA